TGTTGAGTGTTTTCATCAGGAAAGGGTGTTGGATTTTGTCAAAGGCCTTTTCTGCATCAATTGATAGGATCATGTGGTTCTTGTTCTTTGCTTTGTTAATATGATGAATTACATTGTTTTTCTTATATTGAACCATTCCCTCTCTCTTCTTAAGATGCCATCTGGATCATTCAACCCATAGCATCTTTCAATATTGTGAATTGAGGCTTACATTCATTTCTCAGTTCAGCTTAAGAAATGCAGAGCAAGTTCTCCTTTTTATTTTCCAATTCCAGCCCTCTGCACATTCCATTATAATACTCAGCTTTGTCTTCTCAAGCTGCTCTTTGAAATCTTCTGTTTAGGTCTTTTACTTTGTCATCTTTTCCCTAAGCTCTAGGGAAATTTTCAGAGTCTCTTCTGACATATATTTCATTTTTTTCTTTCTCCTCTTTGTTATGATCTCTTGCGCTCTTCATAGATGATATCCTTGACAGCGACTTGAGTCACCTCACAACTCATCTGGTCTTCAATCATCTATATTCAATGCTTCAAACCTATGAAGATAATTTTTTTTTTCAGGTTTGAACTTGAGTAAGACATTTATAAAAACCTGGACAGAGACAGTGTTTTTCACAGCCCAGGGGCCACTAGGCACAGCACAAGAGACTAAAAACTCAACAGGCGGAAGGCTGGATACTCAGGGTGTAGGAGTGTAGCCACCCCACTTCTGGCTCAGGGATTTGGGGAGCAGGGTAAACAAAACCTACTTGGAAAAGAATTGGGGACGAAAACCAGCAATTGCTTTCAGCAGGGGTGAGGAAAGGGAAAGAAGTCAGGGCAGGAGCATTTCACATCACTAACCTAACTTGGGAAACTGTAAGGGACCATGTTCAACTGGCCTCAAGAGGAAGACCAGAGGGATGATGGGAAAATCCACAGGAGGGAGAGGGGACGTGGCTGGAAAGGGGCTACAGCCCCTTCCTTTCCGGGCACAGGAAGGCAGCCAGGGCACCAGGTCCAGGCAGTGACCTCACAAGGACGGCACAGTTTTTGCAGCTTCGAGATAACCTACCTGCCCCCACCCAGCTACTCATTCTGCTCCATGGCTGGTGTACAGCCACTCTCTGGCCCCGAGGGAGTGGACGGCTCTGCAGCCTGGGGCCCTGCCTCTTCTTCCGTGTCTCCTCCCTTGGAGGCAGCACCAGCCTCTGCCCCCTTGACTTGGGGCTCCTGGCTCTCGTGGCGACAGCCTTCCCTTCCTGGGCAGTGCCTTCCTCACTGCAGGCACCGATCTCCCCCTGCTCCTGCTCTTCCTCTGTGAGTGAGGAGGCAGAAGAATCGCCCCCACCCTCCTTCCGATTTCTCTTGAAGGACAGGCCGCTCAATTTGAAAGGCTTCTTGAAAGAGAATTTCTTCTTCTTCTTGGGGGTGTCCTTGGTGGGGGCCTCCCCCTTGGCCTCAGCACCCTGGGTGGGGGGTGCTGGCTCAATGGCATCGCCGGTGGCCCCAGCTGCCTCATCTCTTCCGTTCACGGGAGGCGATTCCCCTTCCCCCTTGGGGGACAAGTCTCCATGGCTTTTCACGTGGCCGTTCTCCTGTCCGTTGGCCTTGGCGGGGGAAGAGCCTGCTGCCTCCTCGGGGTTCACATCGCCCCGGGGAGCCTTAGAGCTGGCTGCCCATGCTGGGTGGGGTTCTACTGGGGGCGCCCAGAGCCGCCCTGGGCTCATGCCGCAGGGGGTGGTTCCTTAAGATAATTTTTAAATTTAGGTGAAATAGACTCAAGATCATATTTTGGTTCTTGTAGACTTGTTTTCTTAGGTCTCAATTTGAACACATGAGTTTGATTGTCTGTTCCACAATCCACCCCGAACCTAGTTTTGATTGCTGATATTGAGCTTCTCTAAAGATTCCTTCCACAGATGTAGTCAATCTGATTCCTATGCAATTCGTCAGGTGAGGCCCATGTGTAAAATGGCCATGATTTTTTTTTTAAAAGGTATTTGCAACAAATCATTCAACATACGAAATAATGATCATTCAATTTCCAGCCTCATTTCTGTCACCAAGTCTAAACTTTCCAACTACCATCCCTTCTTCATAGTTTCCAACTTTTACAATCCGTCACCAATTATCATTAACACATCTTGATTGTATGTTTGGTTAATTTCGGACTGCAAGATTTGATAAAAATTTTCACTTTTCTCCTCTTCGGTTTTAACTGTAGGAGTGTATATTTGAATAATAGTCATATTAACAGGTCTCCCTTGTATATATATGGATACTATCATAACACAACATCATACTTCAGCAGAGAACTTAAAAATGACTTTTTAACTGTGAATGGAACACCATTCTTCTGTTTTTCATTCCTAGAATAGTATACCATGCGCGTATTTGATTCATAGTGGCAAAAGATAGTCCATTTCATCTCCCTAATGTCTAGAATGTTGATGTTCATGTGTCCCATTTCATTTTTCACAACTTCTAGTTTCCCAATATTCATACTTTGTACATTCCAGGTTCCAATTTATTAAAGGATGTTTGCCACTATTTTTCCTCATTTCAATTGACTTCCAATCTAGTTCTATCTCTAATACTATAACTATCCATGTTCCTCTACTGTTCATAGGGTTTTCAGAGGCCTGTTATTTAAAAAGTAGATGGCCATTCCTGCTTCCTAGTCTGCCTTAATCTGGGAGCCTACTAAAACATGTTCTCTATGGGTGAACTTTGTGGCTTTTGACAAATCAGTGGCATAGATTTCGGCATCACAGCCACCTACAAGTTACCTAAGCAGAGCAAACTGACAGACAAGTGTACTAAATAGAACAATGTATTTTCCATATATAACACACTGAAAAGTTATTGTTTTATCTTTAATAGCAAATTATAATCCACACAAGACCCGAGGGCTCGACCAATTCTTAATCACAAAGACTCACCTTCTGAATACTAACTGCTTTAAACAAGAGGCTCCCAGCCCCCAAGTGACTGTTAGCCACGAAAGCCTGTTAGTCAAATATACAAGGCCTTAAATAAGCTTTATATCCTCAATATTGAGACAGACATGAGATACGAACTTCACGTCAATGGGAAATATCTACCATCAAGCAACACTTTTAAATATGAGTAAACACTCAGACAAATCTAGAATATGGTCATTTATGAGACAACTGCTCTGCATTCTCTAACATATTAATAACAGGAAAGGGAAAAAAAACGCACCAAAACCCAAAAATGCAGAACTGTGCTAGATCAAAGAGATAGGACAACCAATGTCAGACCACTGTCTGAGTCCTAGATGAAAACATATAAAGGATATGAATTATGGACTGCATGATATCACTGAATCAATGTTAAAATTCTTGGGTGTGGTAACAGTATATTGGTTCTGTAAGAAAATGCCCTTATTTTTAGGATACACATAGATATATTCAGGAAGAAGTATCATGAGTGAAGTTTATTTTGAAAGGAATCACTAAAAGTAAAGAGAAAGACGACACAATCACAGAAAGCAGAGAAAACAAAAATAACAAAATATAAACACTTGGTAAATCTGTTGAAGAGGAATGGAATTATGCTTTCAACTTTTCTGGAGTTTTAACAAAATTCAAAATAAAAATAAATTATCAAATAAAGAGTCACTAAAGAGTTTCTAAGTGTGGTTAGCATGTTATGGGTGATTTTCTTTAGTTAACTATGTTAAGTATTGATAAATTATTTAAGAAGTTGACATATGATTCCTTCTCACCAAAGTTAACAAAGCTCAAAAGGTGTACTAACATTAGCTTCAGGCCATTGTCAGTGATATAATAGCTGTCTTTTTAAAAAAAGATCAGGCAAGATTAATATTTGACTTACCTGTAAAACTAACAAATCAATAAAAACACTGTATGGCATTTGCTCAATAAGTTAACATTGGGAAATTTTAGTCTTAATGGTTTTAAAAGAATTTATTTTATAGGTCTGTTTAAATTTCCTATCTCAGAGCATACATTATTTAACCAAGATGTGCTGGACAGATTGTAAAAAGGGAGCAAACATTTGAGGATAAGAAACCAGCTCAATTCCATTAGAATTTGATCCAACCTTGTAAACTCTTACTAGAATAAATTTCTATTATACTTTTGTGCTTACAAAATACATTAACTTCTGAATTTCCAGTGGTGTAAATAAAATTTTTACAATTAAGTATGCATTCAATTGATACACAAGGCAACCAAATAATTCTGTCATCAACATTTGCATAATGTATATTTCCTGTCACTGCACTAATATTAACCTAAAATTCAAACCACAAAAATATTGTAACTAACATTAAAAAGGCAAGCTGTTAGATACTCAAAGTTTACAAAGGACACATTGCACATGGTTAAGATGGGACATTACTTGACAAAGGCTGGTAGTGTGCATATGGCTGCTTTGTTTTATAAGAAGGCCACCGGCAAACAGGGCAACAGTGTCGGCCCCCAACCAACCACATCACAATACAGTTCTGATGGAACACGTGACCACAAGGCAACCCCATCAGCAAACACCCATTTTCAAAATTCTCCAGGCAAACAACACACTCAGTGCAGTGCAGCATATCAGCAGGCCAAGCCAGCCAATCAGGTTCAATATCTTCATTAAAGTGAAAAGATCCATATGACTGTCCCTTCTTCATACATGGGCCAGTTTGACAATATTTATTGTCACATGAACAAGTCTCAGCATCACAGTGGCTTGGACTTCCTTGAGAACTGTGAGCCACATGTTGCTTATCTTCAAGTATTCCTCTCTCACTGCTAACAGTGTCTGTGTTTTCATTGTCTGAGTCATTTTCAGTGTCTTGAGAACCTACTGACATTTTCTCTTCAAACAGGACTCCAAGACATCTAAACCGCCATATTGGTAAGTTTTTTATATAATCAGTTGGTATCAGAGGATGAAGCCAAAGGTCAGGAAAAGCTAAACGCTCTAAGAACAAGTCAGGATCTTCATCCCAATCTGACTGTACAGGAAAGTTCTGAAATGAAGCAATCGGGTGGAAGAGGTAGCTAGTGTACCAGTCCCACAGACTTGATAACCATTCCAAGTTATTGGCATTAACTTCATCATTGTTGTTGTTACGCCGTCTCTTCTTCTCAAAGTAATCAATCAGTAAACCATGTCCAAGGTATGTACTGAGAAACAGGGCTGGGTGTGAAGAATAAAACATCCAGTCTGCCCTCACCCATGAAGCCAGTGTGGTTGTATTGGAATATCTCAACAATTTTAAGCTGTATTCATAAAAACTATCTAAATAGGGAAGCTGCAAAAATCCTAACACAGGTAGCCAGGAAATAATTAACAGGGAATTGTATGTCCCTAAAGTGCTTATGAGAACCACAAATCGCTTTATGGTAGCTCCTTGTGTGATAAATAAGTCCATCCAAGCCATAAGATTAACTAGAACCAAGCTTAAAACAAATAGATCATTCACCTCAGGTTGTAAGGAGCGGAGAAAGGAATCCATAGCCTGAAGAGATATAAATTCACCTGTGTGGTTTCCATATCTGTAAATGCCTTCAGGAGTCCTAAGGATGTATGCTGGCATGTTATATATACCAATATCTGCCATATAACTCATGTTATCCCAATTTTCCACATTAACAAAAATAAATTCAACTCTTCCAGTAAACTTTATACTTAGTGCAGAGAAGAAAGCAGGAGGCTGGTCCAGATTTGCAAACAGGTATATTTTTACCCAATACTGGTCACTTTTATTCCATTCGTCTTTCAAATGTTCAGTATTATAGATGGTTTTGATCCTAGAAGCTGCATGAGCAGTTATCCACTTAAAAATGTGCTCCACTTCAATCTTGCGTCCACTATATTCTTTAAGCATGACTTTCCCTTTAGATGTGCTTGTTTGTGGAACAGACATAATGAGGGTAGATCGTACCCAGCCTCTTCTTCGGCAGTATCTACAATAAAAAGTAATTGTGAGTAAACAGCTACAGTGCTATATTAGCTAGGCTGCTCATCCTGACAATTCATTCATTCTCCATTAAAGGATCTGAATGAATATACCTGAAATGCACATTTATATTCTCTCCTCAAACCAAAATCACTTCCAGATGATTAAAAGTTATACCAACACTTGGCAGTTGCAAAAGAAGGAAAAAAAACTCTTATGTGCTATATTTCTATGCTTCTTTTTTTTTTAAGAAAGTCTACTTTAAAAAGTCGGAGTCATGTTGTCAAACACATACTTCAAATTCAGCATCTATTATATGTCTACTACTGTAAGTGATAGGGAGCTCTGGTGGCCTAGAGATAGGATGCTAAGCAGCAATTACAAAGGCACATGGTTTGAATCCACCAGCAGCTCTGTGGAAGAAGTATGGACAGGCAAGCTCCTTCTATGCGATTTACTCTGCCTCTGAAAGCCTGCTGGAGAGAGTTAACTATGGGTCAGTTCTGACTTGATAGCATACAGCAATTATAAACAATAATAGGAAATAATTCCTGCTCATAAAAAATTTTAAATCTTACTAAAATTATAAAATTCATAAATATAAAAAGTATGGCAAGGTTCAGTTCTGTTCTTCACAGGGCTGCTATGAATTGTAGTTGATTCAATGGCACCTGACAACAACTGATAAATAGACAAAACAAGTTTAAAGATAGGAAATATCTTTGGCAGAGCATGGGGTACAAAGGCATTTTTACAAAGTTAAGTAATCTTCCCAAAAAGTAACCCAGAAAAGAGCT